ACAAATCTAGCTGTTGTGCATATGAACTTGTAACATCTACAATGGACAATAATATAAACCTGAATCATAACGTGTAGAATCTAAATAACAAAGAAGTAGAAGTATCCCGAGATAGAAAAACTACTCTCTGGTACTAAAGATGGTATATAGATATAGCCAGCCATTAGCATGAGGTCATTGTTTTTGAGCTCTCCTAGTTACTCCCTTCATCTTTGTGCTAACTTTATACTAAATCTGCGACATTTATTTTGGGATGGAGTGAGTACAAGTTAATCGTCACACAGTGATATTATCAGTAATGTGCTTAGGAAACTTTTGCATACTTCTTGATAGCCAGAATCCATGGCTAATGTATTTGATCTATGAAAAGAACACGTGCCACAAGTTATCAGCGGATTACATCTTTGCTTCCAATTCTATAGCTACGAGGGTCATGAAACCATACAATAATTAGTATCTCAACAATAACTATGTTTTTATGGCAAATATGTGGCTACTGTTCTATCAGTGGGTGAGAAATAGAAAATATGTTCACCATTGCTTCATCTACTACTAATTTCTTAATAGAAACATAAAAGTCACAAAGCAAAATGAATATAAGTTTCAAAGAAAAACATAAGATCATAAGTATTCATTTACCCGCTGAAATAGTTAGCCAGTACATTCAAAACAACATTGGCCAATCAATTAAGAAACTACAGGAATCAAGGCAAAATGGTACATCACTAAATTTCAAATATAACCTAAATGACACATACATGAGAAACCATCCTAAAGTACTCACTCCTCCTCGTGTCATCTGACTTAAACTTGGAAACTTGTTGTCGCTTCAGGAGAGAAAGCATTAATGAACCCGGCAGGAGCCCTCGAGGAAGATAAAAACAATGATTAGAACTGACCATTATCAATATTGTTTCTAAATTATACAAACAACACAGAAAAGCACATACTTGTCAGCGACAGTGTAGGCACTTAAGCAGGGATGGATTTTTTTTTTTTTTTGCTTCATCCAGAAGAAAGTTACTTTCTGTTACAATTTGAGAATGGAAACAAGAGAATGGGGCGGCTCTGCTTCCTATTTTACATAGTAACACCAAATAATCAAAATGGTAAATTAGTTTCCATGCGTATATGATGGTGCGAGTAAGAGCGAAAACAGAAGTGCACTCCTAGTGCTACCTTAATGCCCTATGTGGAGGATACTTCACCTGGTTCCCAAAAATAGTAAAGAGTAAGAAGGCCTCTTCCTGCTACTTGATCAATGAAAGATAAAGAAGAATGCCGTTCCCTTGGGACGGTTTCAGAGAGAAGCATGTTTAAGATTGGTTACCTGCAGAGAAAACCCACAGGCTATTCCACATTCCATGGATTGGAAGATTAATGTTGGAACTTGGAAGGGCCTGTTCAAGAAGTAGTCCTGAAATACAGAGTGTCGCTGTTGAGCAACACAATTATGATTAAACGGCTAAGCTGTCCACCTTTGCATTGTTGAGAGAATTTAAACTGTAATCGCCAAACAGAACAAAAAACAAGGTTAAGAGTGATTACTGCTACAAAGATGATGAGTTGACGATCGTGACTCGTGTTTAATCCTCTTCTTGTCACAAAAACATGTTGGGGAACAACACCACATGAATGCAAGCCACAATAAAACCTTGAATATTTGTCTAGAAATATGTGTTTGATGCAAAAATTGACCGATCATCACAACTGCCTATTACTACTACAAATATAATGAGCATGCACAATTTTTTTTTTCAAAAGCTGGGCTATACATTTATCTTATTATGTCTGATCACGACTGATCATTACTGCTAGAAATATATTATCACACAAAAGTTTCTTTTGTGTGATGAACATCAGACGTTGGTTTGCCAGATGATTAAAGGAAAAAAATACATCAGTTAATTACCATTAATTTGGTTGTTGTGATGCTTTGAGTGCCGGACCCCTATCTTTGGTGATGAACTGGTCCGGGAGCGCATGCGAGCGAGCAAGAGAGGCATGGTGCGGCAAGATGGTGCAGGCCACGAGGGCAATGAATAAATAATTCATAACTGTCCACGGAGAAGACATATCCATTACAAATAGGGAATTTTACTATTTCATACCATTCATGTTGCTGCTTTCAGATTAAATTGAGTTTGATCACATAAGCACTTTTAATAGTACATTGGGCATTAGGAGTAGGAGCCCAACATAAAGTATCTTCCATATTTGTATTAATGATAGGAGTTCACAAGATATTCCTCTTGAAATTATCATCAAAAAAGAGATTAATTTTGTCCTCATCCCAATCTTTACTATTAGATTTCCAGAGAGCACTAACAACTTTAGGATAGGGCACATCTAAATTTGGATTAAGATGATCATAAATTTTATCCCAGTCATTGCACCAAGGATTAGTCCAAATACAAGCGGTTTGTGATGAACTAGTCCGGGAGCACCTGCGAGCGAGCAGGAGAGGCGTTGTGCGGCAAGATGGTGCAGACTCTGTTGCCTGAAATTCAGAGCTTGGGTACGGCACTACTCATGTTTGGAACATAGATATATCTGTGTTCTGTGATTCACAAGTTAATAGTGGCCCCGGCAGACGGCAGTACATAGCAGAATTAGGAGTTGCAAACAGGGTATATAGATATAGAAGAAAAATGCAAAGCAGAGCTTGTGTAACATGCATGTAGTCCAAACATTTTCCTCTGCTCTTTATTTCCCTAATCTCAGAAAACACATTCGTGTAAGCGAGCGAGATAACACGCTAAAGACCATGCATCATGAAAAGTTCATCAGTGCAGAATGTTGCACAACCTGACTAACTGTAAAAGAAATGCGGGTTGACTAACTGTATATATTGCATTTGCTCAACTCTAGAAAACTGCTTGATCAGCAAGTAAGTTGGAACCGGTAACCTAGTTGCATTTGCAATTTTCTACTCCCTCCGTCCCAAAATAAGTGTCTCAACTTTATACTAGCTCTAGTACAAATTTGTATTAAGCTCAAGACACTTATTTTAGGACGGAGGGAGTACTAGGAAACTACCTAGCATGCTGATACCTCTTAGCCCAACAACCAATAGAAACTAACTTAGACGTTTTTGTAGGGTAGTTTAGCAACTCGACAGAAACTAGACGAACCACTGCTGAAACACTGAAACTAGACAAACAACTTGACAGAAACTAGACGAACAACTTGACAGAAACTAGACGAACCACTGCTAAAACACAGAAACTTATATTTTGGTATAGATGTATTCCCCCCGTCTCACAATTAGTGTCTCAAGCTTAGTAATATAACTTCGTACTAAAGTTAGTAAAAGTTAAGACACTTATTTTGGGACCGAGGTAGTAGCACCTACTAACTTGACAGAAACTAGACGAACTTTTTCCCACTGAAGCATCGATGAACAACCGACATTTCTGGCATACAGCGGAATCAAATTAGTGAGGTAATCTCACGAGTCCACCAAAACCGGAAAGAAGGGCACAAACACAACAAGAAGTTGATCGATCACGTACACAAAATGATGACCGGTACACAAAAAACCCATGTCTGCTGTCTGAAAAATTCAGAAACTTGAATACAACACTGCTCATATTTGGCGTAAGATATGTCTGTGATTCAGAAGTTAATAACCCCGGGAAGGGTATATACAGAAGAATTAGCATGTCTGTGATTCAGAAGTTAATAACCCCGGGAAGGGTATATACAGCAGAATTAGCAGTTGTAAACAAAATATGTACTATGTGATTCAGAAGTTAATGTGCAACATGCATGTAAAACAGGTATATCCGTGATTTAGAAATTAATGGTGCAGGAACAGGCATATACAGCAGAATTTGCAGTTGAAAACATGGTATAGAAGCAACGTCGCTGGCCAAAATGCAAAGCAGGGCTTTGTGTACTTAACATGCATGTAATCTGAAACATGTTTCTCTGCACCTCCTTTCACTGCATTTAAGCGAGTGAGGTAACAGGATAAGTAAAGACCATGCATGACGACAAATTTATCAGTGCATAATTCTACACAACCTGACCAACATTAAGTTGCATTTGCACAACTCAAAGAAACTGCTTGATCAGACACAACTAGGAAATTGCCTAGCAACCAACAGAAACTAACTTCGCCCAGCAACCAACTCTCCGAAAACCGTTTGATGAGACACAATTCAAGGTAACTTTAGTCAGTTTCTGTAGTTGATCAATCATAACTACTGATAAAATCCTGAAGCTTAGCCCAGCTACCAACATTTCTGTCATAAGCTGGAATTTATCCGAGGTGAGTTCATCAGTCAGAACCGAAAAGGCGGGAATATCAAAGAGTTTCAGTAAAGGCTGATCGTGTATCTGAATGACATTCGTCCTACATGATCCATGGTGCAAAAATAGAACATGCAGTAGATCTATCATGCACACCTTAACAGATCAGAAACAAGATGAACACCGTAAGTTCACGAGCCATAACCGAAAGGGGACTGCCAAAGACATTCAGTTAGCAATTTAGCATGACCAGAACAAACAAACTGAAGTAGACAAAGATCCTGCAGATCAACCATCACAAGATCATCTGCAAACTCAACTTAGTACTGCACATCATAACAGAAGAAGAACGAAACAATCATTGCAGTAAGTTTGTGGCATCGGATCCTGTGCCTGATCAACAAACACGCACGCTTTTCAATCAGAATCCTAACAACTGAACAACATTCCTTGTATGTATGCATGCATAGGATGATTCAGAGTAAAAATTCGAAGTGAATTGAGCCGTATAAACTGTAACTGATGCATGCAGGAACAAAATTAGCACAAGCAAGAACAGAAGTTGAGCAAACAGTCGGAACAGAGCAACGAGAAGATGAATCAAATTCGCACCAAAATTGATTCAAGTCGTGCAATCAGAAGTACTCATCTCTTATCTGAACCTCTATTGAACTAAACGACTGCCCAAATCCGAACCACTACTCCACTACGCAAAACGATCGAGACGAGACGTACGCATCGCATCACTCGCCGGGAGAGGTGATCGCTGAGGAGGCGCAGTCGCCGAAGGGCTCCCCGACGCCGCAGGTGCCGTTCGTCTGGTCGGTGGCGGACGCGACGGCGAGGTCGGCGAGGTGGAGGCGAGGGAACGGCACGTAGACGCCGTGGACGGCGATGCGCGAGTTGACCACCACGTCGGGCTCCTTGATGGGTATGTAGTTGATGCGGACGTCGTCGTTGGAGGAGGCGGAGCCGGTGGCGTAGTGGGTGACGACGAGGCTCTGCCCCTCGCCGGCCAGCGTGGGGAGGACCGTGCCGGGGCGGAGGCGCTGGAGGTCTGCGCGCGTGAGGCGGTGGTTGGGGACGATGTGGAAGCGCACCGCCGAGACGTAGTCGTGGCCTCCGCCGACGAAGATGGCCGGGTCGTCGAGCGCGAAGAGCGTCAGGTTGGCCAACTTCTCGAGCTCGGCGAACTTGACGCGCATGGCCAGCACCATGAAGCCGTAGCCCCCGTCGCGGAGTCGCGCCATGGCGTCGCGGATCATGATGCGCACCACGGAGGCAGCGGTGGCCGCGGAGGCTGCGGCGGAGCGGCCGGTGAGGTGATGGTGGTGCTGGCCGTCGAAGCAGGAGTGCGTGAGCGGGCGCAGGAAGCCGTGGAGGCCGTGGACGACGTAGCGGCCGTCGTTGTAGAGCTCGGGGTGGGACACCTCGACGCCGTCGGCGTAGATCCTGGCGTAGTGGATGCCGAAGGGGCCCCGCTCGGTGGCGACCTTGATGCAGAAGCCGACGGAGGCGGAGGGGATCTTCATGGTGGCTGCGGCGGCGAGCTCGGAGTAGGGGTAGTAGCCCATGGCGATGTGCTGCTCGAGGAGGTGGCGGCGCGAGCACATGGGGCAGGCGGCCTGGAGGAAGGCGTCGGGGGCGGCGAAGACGGTGATGGCCCCGGGCCACCTCGCGAGCGGCGGCGCGTGGGCGAGGAGCGGCGCCTCCGACGCCATCTCGTTGTACCCCAGCGAGGTGAGCACCCTGGAGAGCTGCTGCAGCCCCTGCTCGGCGTCGGACACGGCGGGAGGCGGAGGCGGGCTCGTGGTCGTCGCCACGGTGGCAGGGAGCGGAAGAGGCGTGGTGGTCGTCGTCGGCGCGGACCCCTCCTCCTGCGGCCGCGGCGTCGCCTCCGCGAGATCCGGCACCGGGAGGACGAGCGTGGGAGGCGGTGATGCCGCTTCGGCCTGGGGCGGCACGAGCGGAGCGGGACGGGCCTCCGCCGCGTCCGTGGCCTGCGCGTCGGCGAGGACGGGGTCGACGTCGCCGGTGGCGAGCAGGGACTGGGTGTCGGCGTGGAGGTGGTTTTGGTGCATGGAGGGCGCGGCGCTAGGGACGGGGTGGAAGTGGGCGGTCGTGCCGAACGGCGAGCGGTGGTGGTGGTGGTGGGCGCGGGCGGAGGCGGAGGCGGTGGCGCTCTCCGGCGAGTGGGTGGCGGAGGCGGTGGATAGCGCGAGGAGGAGGAGGAGGAGGGGTAGGGGTAGGTTGTGAAGACGGAGAGCCATGGCTGGCTGACTGCCAAGGAAGGAACGAACTGGAATGGGGATGGGGATGGATCCGGAGGGGCTATAAAGCGTAGCCGGCCGCGGCGATGGCAGGGGAGAGAGCGGAGCACGGCGTCAAGTCGCATCACGTCACGTAACCGTCTTGTGCGAGGGACCTAGTCAAAGCGAGTCAAGGGTCCAGCGATCCCAGCCCTTTTTTAGCGCAGGACAAGTGGATTGGATTTCAAATTTGGGTAAGACTACCCACATACCCATAGTGGGAGTAATATCGATGGTAACATCACACTTATCTACTCCCTCCGTGTAGGTGTGTAAGTCATCTTATGAAAACCAAATAATCCCAAAACACTTAGGCGCGGTGCCTTAACTTCTACCTCGTTTCTTGTTTCTTGACATATCAACCAATAAGAGATGAGGGGTGTGCATGTTTTTAATGACTTTAGACTACAAATAAGACATGCAGTGGTTAGTTCATTGCATGCGATGCTATTAATTAACAAATAAACATTAATGTCTCTCGTTTTCCCCTCTTCCTTGATCACGGTGCACAATCTAAGATGGCTTACTCACCTAGACGGAGGGAGTAGGTAAAATAGATGATGTGACATGTAATTAATGAAGAAAAAAAGGCATGTGGTAACATAGCTAGTTACTGTAACATCACAAATATCAAGAAAAGATGAGTCTACAACGTAATAAATGAAGTGATGCATGACACAGTACATATGTTACTACCCACTGTGAAGGTAGTAACATAGACTAGTAACATATGCATGTTACTAGTCTAAGTTACCCATTGTGACTAGTCTAAGTTGAAATGAACACAAGCGGGTCTGTTTTTCTTTGTCGACGGCGTCAACCGGAGATGATGGATCCAGGGCTCGAGTTGCACGGGGTCCGTTTCGTATCCGCGCCAATGCAAATGATCATTAGTGCGCAGTCCCTAGTAGCTCAACCCAAGCTTGCTGCCATAAGCATGATTATATGATTTGGTTGATGAACTTTAAATGCAAATATCCGATAAGGATATTTATTTTGTATACAAATTATTTGAACAATTACAGTCGCTTATGAGATTATCGGTTTTATGTCTAAGATCTTTTAGTCGAAAAGACATACTTATATTTGACATGTTTATTTTATCTTGGCAATGTTGTGTGGCATACTTGCAAAGAATGCTCTCCTTCGTCAGAAAGTGGTTCATAGAGCAATTGATGTATGCCGGAAATAAAACCACTTCATAAAAAACGTCCAAACAGATGCCTCCTTGCTTGGTTGAATTTTATCGCGAGACTTGCATGTGTATGTTCAAATGGTCTTCTACAAACAAATATGGCACATGTTTTGATCCTATTGGAACTAGTACTCCTAAAATTGATGGTTGCTTTTACACGGTGTGAGAGATGCATAATTCAAGAGGACGCAGGTGTTTGTTGAGCAAGCCAGTACGTTGCAATACAACTTCTACTATTTTTTTAGATCTTTGGACGCAATGGCAACTCAGAAAAATGATCAAATTATCTGGTCTGAGATTGCTGAAACACATGAGTTCCTTTGCAGGGGCAAATGTCAGGAAGTAGCAAGTCTACAAGTTGATCTAATTAAGATGTTATGGTTGCCGCTTTCGTTCATAATATGGTTTACACATTTTATTCATATGGAAGTTGTTGTCGGCTTGGTGATTGAAGACTTGGTCTCTTCCATAATATTCCGAGTGATTGAACACACTTGGTAGCATAGGAACTTGACCATCATATTTTGCAACATGACACGACTTGTATGTCGACTTTTGCATTTGCTTAATGGTTGTAGTTAAGATTGCTATTTTTGATATATATGTGTATTACAAACTGAACATGAATTGCATATTTTGAGTTTAATTTCATGATAACATATATGGTGCTTCTGAATTTGTGCTAAAATGTCAAACCCCGAGCAATGTTTTGATAGAAATATTGGACGTCGAACTATCTGTGCATATAGAACAATGTCATATGAACCATAGGCATAAAAACGTATGTCGGTGTAGAATGTCTGGCGGTGTAGATCACACCTACCCTATCATAGTGTCAGTCGAATTATATTTATATTTTGATAAAGACCTTTGCTGATGGTAGTATAGTTGGCAACTGCTTTTTCTCGTCAATTTTTTTGCCGACATTAAGTATGTCGCTCTATGTGGCCTGTCTCAACAAATTGTTTGACACTACTTTGAGTGTCATGGTGTAGTGCAGGTGAATGAAAGGAAATGATCAAACTTGACTGATGCGACAGTGATAGACATAGTATCGCTGCTAGCATGATGACTGTCTATATTGTAGTCAAGCAGTAGTGCTTGTAAAAGTGAAGTAGATATTACAAGTGCATATTTCCTGCAAACACCATAATCATAGTATTAATAAAAGAAACACTCAAGCAACATGCTTATAAGTGAATTGGTATTTCGCCCTTATATCCATCATTAGCAAGCAAGTTCGGTTGGGACAACATAAAACACACATACAACATGTAATGACAACAAAATGGGCTAATTGTTGGGTTGGATTCATATCAGCCACATTGAACAAGTCTTACAAACCCATAATATGCATATGTCTTTAGATAAGAAGTTATGATTTATGAATGCCAAAAACGACGTAAGGCAATATAACCGTATTTATTGAATTGTACAAAGTTAGAACCCGACCCACTTAATCGCCTACTTTCTGACCCGATGATGTTGTTGAAGCATGCAACGTGAAAAAGCTGGCCGCGAAGAATATCGAGGGTGGATGTGGCCCATGGCGACAAGGCCCCTTGCTAAGGTTGTCATAGATGGAGGCGAGAGGGAGCAATGGGGGTGTTGTAAGCGGGTGGTGTTGTGTGAAGGAGTGGGAGAAGTGACAAAGGAGAAGCACCTGCACATTCTCTATCTCAAAGTTTTTATTTGGGCTTGGGCCACTCATTCATTCGCTTTCGTATTTGAGTTGAAACGAAATTCCTTCCATTGCTAAAAACTGAAGAAGCCCATGTCAGAAAAAAAAAACAAATGAGGAGACTTGTTTTTTCGTTTCCTATTAGAAGAAGATGAAAATTCCAAGTCAGGTAGTGGCCGTCTGGGCCCACCAAATCCCTGTTGTCCTCTGCTCTCACTACGCCACAAGGCTCTCCCCTCTTTTAATGGAAGATTAGAGCAAGTATAATAGTGGGCTATAAGTCCGCTTACATGATACTTTTGATTATGTGGAGAGAGACAAGAAAAAAAGTGAAGGAGTGGATTCTCAAACTCTACGCGTGCTCCTAGGTAAAAATATTTAATGAGAGAAAAATATTTAAAAATATTTAATGGCTATAAAAGATGAATGAGACCAAATTATATCTCATCTAGATGAGTTCTAGCAAAACTGATTAATAATGCTAACTCTTGATGATGGGAGTATTAAACATGCTCTTAATAATTGGTTAAACTGAATTAGTTGGCACCTACTTGTTGCCTAAGTAAAGTGGGGAGCGACACTAGGTACTCCCCCTGGTTGCTTTGGGGAAGCACATGAAAGACCTGCATGCATCTACTGCTACTACAGTAGTACGTCTTGTATACTGCGATGGCGTCTCTGGGAAGGTGTTGGAGGGCGCGGGACGCACGCACGGTGTGGGTTTTGCTCTGTTGTGACGGTCCCGTTTTTCTGTTTTACTGTCAGTGAAAAGCGTATTTGATTGTTGGTTGGACGTAGTGGAAACACAGGAAAAGAAGAGGCGGCGCCCCGTGTAGGAAGGAGCAAATGGAGAATCTGGGTGGGTAGAAAAGCAGTAACCGCTCGCCTGCGGGTGTCAGAGCCTGCCTCAGAGGAGAGAGAGAGAGAGAGGAGGGGGGAGCCGAGCCGTGGGTTGCACCTGCACCGCACCGGCACGTCTCCTCGCGTCGATCGCCCCGGTGTATATAACACCCACACACCCACCCCTCGCAGCGCTCGCTCACATCGCTCGCTCCCTCGCTGCCAAGCCCTCTCTCTTCCTCCCCCCGTCTCTCCCTCACGCAGTCACGCCGGCCTGCTTCGGGATCCATCCATGGCCAGGCAAGGGCTCGCGTAGCTACATCCACCTCTCCGTCCACCTACTACCTGCTACGCTACTCCGGCTGGCCAGGTACGCACGCACGCCGGCCTCTCGCATCCGCCGACCCGTACGTCCTTTCCTCGTGCTTTGCTGCGGCGCACGCGTTTCGAACTCGCTTTGCTAGCCGGCGCGGCGGTGCGCGCGCGCGTAGGAACGAACGAGTCCGGCCGTGCAACTCGACCGACCTCTCGTGCACTAGAAACACGTACGCCGTATGTACCAGGGTCCGTGTCCTTCCATCGATATCCATGCTGCTAGCTGCGCTAATCTCGTTGCCGCACCCGGTGAGATCCTACTGATTTTGCTTGTTGGGACGGGTTTAGTAATTTGTGAGCACCCGGCCGGTGAAATTTATCTGTTCATGGAGTACCTACTTTGTTTACTGGGGTTTAATTTCGTTGCGGCACCCGGTGAGATGGCCGTACGTACTAGTTTTGTTTGTTTGTTTGTTTGTTGGGGGTTTAATTTGTGAGTGCCCGGTGAAATTGATTTCTTCATGGATTAGTACCTAGCTTGTGAAATTCCTTTTCTAAATAAACTCCACGGTTATAATTTATTTTGTTCATGAACCTTGGTTGGGTTGATGCCTTCATATGGAAAACGTATCATCTCCGTGCATGTAATTTTGCTGAGGCTGCTGCTGGATTGGATACCTGCCTGCTAATTTTGTGTGTTGGGGTTTAATTTGTGAGCACCCCGTGGTGGAGTTTATCTGTTCATCGATTGGATGCCTGCCTGCTAGCTGCTGCACCCGGATGAGATACTATACTAACCAACTGAATGTATTCATTTTGTTCGTCTTGGGTTACTTAGTTATTAATCCTTAGATTCATACATGTTTGCATCTCCGTGGTTACTTTCACTGATTACTTACATTGATTCATGTTCTGCTGGCAATTGATCAC